TTATATTAATTTTGGTCGTGATTTTGCTTATAATCAATGTATATTTAAGTATATTAGGATAACTGTTGTGCTAATCCTGTAAAGCAGATAATAGTAAATTTATCTGCTAACTTAAAAAAATATTGAAGGTTCTTCCATAAAATTTCTTTAAAATTTTAAATATTAAAATTTAAAAAGCTTAAATCTTAAAATTTATTTAGAAATCATCCGAAATGAAATTCACCAGTATATATTTTTATCATAAGACTTTAGAAGTTTTTTCATCTCAATTTTAAAGATTAGATTTTTAAAGTAAAGGGTTGAGTTAGCGATTGGGTTTTTTGGAATGCCAGGTGCTGCATTTAGAAAATTGCATTTGAGAATCTGCTGCATATGCTTGGTCCCATAAATTCAATTTTTCTTATTGTTCTCTAAACGCATGTTGTAAAAAGTTTGTTCTCTACAAGCTACATTTAGGGAAGTCCGACTGTATTTGAGAAACTAAAAGAATTTATAAAATAAATTGTTTAATTATACAAAAAGGCGCAATACAACTGTTTAAAATATTTTAATATATCTAGTCTAGAATATTTGTTTATATCTATAGAAATATGATTAATCTTAATCTTAACAAAATTCTATTTTTAAAAACAGCACAAAGATTTATGCTGCAAAATTTACTATACTGCAATTTTCAATCTTAATTCTATGGAAAATTTGTAAAATAAATCGAAAACACTATATCAGAAATATATTTTTTGCCAAACAATTTAATTTGCTTTTTAATTCAAATGATTAAATTACTGTATTAAAAATCATTTTTAAACATGTCTTTAAATGTCCTTGCTATATAATATATTACACGATATTAATCATTGTAATAGTTATTTTGTAGACATTAAATAAGAAAAGGTTCAAGTTAATAAGTAGGTTGTTGAAAGTTGCAGTTTAAAAAAAATCATTAAAGTAAATAAGGCAAAACTTATAACATTAGGATTCAGAATTTCAATTTAATTCTATATTTAATTAAATCCAAAGATATTTCTAATATTGTTTATAAACACCAATTTCTACATCATTTAATCAGATTACGTACAAAAGTGATTCATTCAACTTTTGAAAAAAACAATCCTATAAACCTTTATTAAAAAATACTTTTCTTATAATTTCCCCATTTTTATCCTTTAAATTCCAAAATTTCTCTTCCAACTTTAATGGATCTATAATAGCTTTTTGCGGAAAAGCTGCGATTGCTAATGGCAAAGCGCCAGTTAACGACAACGTTATGAGGCCTTTAGTAGTAAAAATGTATGAGCGAATCAGTATTAAATGAAATGAGAGAGAACAGATTCCTTGCAGTATAAGTGACCCCACTTCATAATCAATTGATCAATAATAAATTTTATTAAAGAAGTCAATTATACTGCAAGAGATCTGAGAAAACATAATAGGAAATTATTATTAATAATCATACCAAGGTTAATGAAAGTAGCAAGCCTAGGGTTATTTATTATTAATTTTGTCTTTTCAAGTTGTGAGAGTACAAGCGGTGGAACTGTTAATACTGGAACACTGGTGAGTATGCGAGAGATTGCAACCTAAATTATTAATTAATATTAATACAATTAAAGATTTAATAAAAAAGAGAGAAGAGAGATAAAAAAAACCCCTTAGTTTCAAACCTGTCCAACGGCGCTTGCACCAGCTTTTTGCGATTTACCCAAACTATTCCCATCAGCATCATAAACATCAATCCCACCTCTAACTTGAAATAACATTTATTATTAAATATATTATATCAAACCAAATCATAACGAGATGAATGACCACAAACCTAATCTCTTTTAATCGCATTAAATAAACATTAACAGTTCCAGCACTTGTGACAGCCACAAAAGGTACCAACCTAGCTAAAATTCCACGAGTTGAAGAAGATAAAAATTTTAGACGTGGTATAGCTTGTGCTAAGCCAACAGCTATTCCACATGATGTAGTCACAGCTGAAGCATAAGCGACTATTTAAAAAATAAACATATATTAAAGAATTAGATTATAGTTAGATTATAATTAGATTTGTAAAGGAAAATATTTTTCAAAGATAAAATTAAAGCCTACTAGCAGTTTCCTTCATGCTCATCATAGTAGTTTTATTAGCATTACTATAATTTATGGCAACGTTAACACTTTGATTAGCCCATTGCCAAAATATAATGCTTCCGATCTAAAAAATTTCATCGGTTCGATGAGATTTGTATAACTAATTATGATTAAAATTGACTATGAAAGAAAAACATGTTAATACTTGAAGAAACTTACACTAGGATTTTTTGGTATCAACATACCGGCGGCTATAACAAGATTAGTCGGTACAAAGCAAGACATTCGAAATGGTAAAAATATTGGTTCACCGGTATCAGGGTGAACAGTAGAATCGACAACTATTGTTTATATATAAATATTTGATTTAAGATTTGATCAAGTCTATATTTTTATAATAATTTGAACAACTCACTTTTTTTTGCATTCCATAACCTTTCAGGGTCCACATTTTTTAATTTTCCAGTATTATAATCATGAATTAGTTTTTTTGAGTTTTCAAGGCCAGTTCTTGAAATGAATAATGTTCTAATTCATTTATTATTCAGATAAAACTTAAATAAACTTATACGGACTATCCAACAGATTTCAAAAAGTATTTCAAAGACAAGTGATACCTTATGTCTGTCATGTCAATAAAATGCTTTACGCGGCCGATATACGTAGATTGATCGTACCTTGGTTTTGCTTTTTTGAACGAAAAAAGTTTAAAGTTTTGAATTAAATCAAAATATACTTGTTAAATTTACAAGGATTAAATGGAATGATAACATACATAAATCGATTTTCGGAATATGTTCGTTAGCTGTAATGGTCGCCATAATTTTAAAATTAACAAAAGAATTAGCGAAACAATTTTTAAGAAAAAAATTCGATACATCCTAAATAAGAGTCGATTATTTGTTACACTACACAAGCAAATTCATATCGATATGCAGAATATCAATGTTTTAGATTATCATTATTTCCGTTTATGATATTCAATAGTATTTTCGAATTTACTAAATTAAGAATGTGAGACCTTATAACACAATCTCACGCTCAAGGCTGAAAATTTTCACTCGTTCGTAAAAATGTGTTTAGCAGCCGTAACTCAATTTTGTGCCAAAAGTGATATATCTAAAAATCTAAAAATATGTGTGGATTTGATTAATAAAGCTTCTCAAAGAGGCGCAAAGGTTGGATTGAATTTTCAATAACTTTATACAAAATTTGAAGTCGAATACATACCAATTGTTCCATTTCACCACAAAACAAGTAGATGATATTCTTTCCAGAAATGTCGGATTTCGTTGCCATTGATACAAAAGAAACTCTATCTCTGACATTATCTGCAGAAAATCTGCAATTTGTTGAAGGAATTAAGAATTCTGCCAAAAAAAATAATGTTTGGGTTTCTATTGGAGTTCATGAAAATGTAAATTTTTTTATTTATAAACATGAGTCAGTTGCATGATGTTTTACAATTAATGAAAACATATCTAAACCTTTTTTATCCTATTACAATTCTCTAAATTATTTACTCTAACTCCATCTTTTTCTGATCACAAATCAGAGCACCCTCCCTTCCCAAATCTATAACTCACATCTCTTAATTACTTCATCTGGCACTCTTTTTCATCCCATCTATCATAAACTTCATCTATTTGATATTTCTATACAAGATGGTCCCCAGATCCAAGAAAGCAGTTATGTTCTAAAAGGTGATAAAATTATAGATCCGGTGGAGACACCTATTGGTAAAGTTGGAACGATGATTTGTTATGATTTAAGATTTCCAGAATTATCTATCGAGTTGAGAAAAAGAGGTGCAGATGTGCTGGCATATCCTGCAGCTTTTACAGTTAAAACCGGAATGGCTCATTGGGGTATATAATAATTTTAGAATAATTTAATTGTATATTTATATTATATTAAAAACATTTATATATTACCATATACACATTTGCCTTTTTTTTTTTTTATAAATTTAGAGGTTTTATTACGTGCTAGGGCTATAGAGACTCAAACTTATGTTATCGCAAGGTTTGTCGAAATCATTTAACAAGCAATCACATAATTTTCGTCTCCTAATTATGTAATTTTAATAGTGCCCAAATTGGACAACATAATGAAAAGCGCACGACTTTTGGTAATGCAATGGTATTTATTCAAAATTTTCATATAAAATTAGTTATTTTTTTGGACAGTAAATAACTTTCTTTTCTAACCAATAGATAATAGATCCGTGGGGAACAATCCTTGCTAGATGCCCAGAAACCACACAACCAACATTTGCTTTGGCAGAAATTAATCTTGACAGATTAAAAAAGATTAGAACTGAAATGCCTGTTTTAGAGCATAGAAGAACTGATTTGTTTTGATAAATTCATTTTACCAAATCATAATCCGTTATCTTGCAAAGAAATAAAACAATTGATTGATGTTACTAGTGCCAATACTGCCGTTCTATAATGTTCAATATACAGTCGTACTCCTCTATAATCACTCAGTTTGTTCTATCTCCAAAATTAGTTTTTTAATTCTTATATAAGAATTTTTTCATAACTCTAACCCTAAATTGTATATTATATAGAAATATTATTTATAAGTTTATTTAGGGTGATTATATATAATTTATGATTATTTAGGTGATTATAGAGAGGATTATGACTGTACTAATATTTTCACAAATAAATCATTTATCACGCTATATTGGCTTTAACTTGTTTTTGACTTAATTACGAAAATACTATTAACACAATTAATTTTACTGTCTATTGTCGAATCATCAAATTTTCATAAGAATCTGCCAATTAGTTGTCAAATGGTAAAAAATTAGCTTTAACTAGCTTAACTTTTAACCAGTTAATTATCGATTAGAATTATTAATCATGAATTTTATGTTGCTAAAACAAAAGAGGTTTACGCGGTTTATTTTGTTTAAAAATGAGATAATGCCACCTCAGTGCCAGGCTTAAATCTTCGCAAAACATAAAGTTTATTATAAAGCGGATAAAAGCGGATTCATTATATAAAGACTTGGTATTGGAAAGGGTCGGAACCGCTTATTAGTTACACAGTAGAAAGAATTTTTATACCTGTTTATGATGCTAGTAACCCAAATTTTATTAAACGAGATAGTAACTTGAACCTTTCACCTTGGTCTACAACATATTTTCTGAATCCCTGTGAATCTTACTACGTACGTACGTACAGTACGTCCCATTAGGGTGTTCAATCGACTAATAATCACACCTATACTTAAACCCAATTACTAAGAAAGTTGAGTTACATCAGAATGAAATTCGATTCTAATATATATAAAAACCTTTATATAAGCAACCTCCTTATAAGCACATTTTTTCAAAAAAGTTACTATGGTCCCAACTATAGATGCTGGTGAAACTGGTGAAACTCTTGGTGAATGGTGGTGAAACTGGTGAAACTGGTGAAATTTAATATAACAGCCAATCAGATTTTAGATAGTCACCAGTTTCACCAGCGTTATTTAGTTTCACCAGCATCTATAGTCCCAACTGTGTGATTACGAAGAAGTATGACTGTAGATTATTTAATTGTGGATTTTTTTTATGGATTGACAATCGGTTTTTTATTATATGTATGTTACTACACATAAAATAGAAAATTTATATGATACTTTGTTTATAATTACTATCTAATATTGAGTAGCTTTTTTATTTGAAAGTTCTTATCATTCTTTTTCTTACAATAGACTTATAATATTTTTGTAATTTTATCAATGATTCGCGTGATTTTTTTTTTTCGATTAAAGAAGGGTTCTATTGCATGAGAAAGAATGATGTGAGCTTTCAAAAAAAAAAATCCTGATATTAATTAGGCCGTTGTTGAGGAAAAGTAATTTAAATTTTGATTGGTTTATAAAAAATGATCATTAATATAGAAAATCGAAACTTCAAATTCCTTTGTCTCAACAACGATCTAATCGATCCTAGGCGACTTTTTTTTATATGAAAGCTTTTATCATTCTCTTTCATGTAATAGAGCCCCTTTTACCGATTTTATAATTAAACTGCAAAAGAAATTCCCGTGTATCATTGAAAATTACAAAAATATTATAAAGAAATCTATTGAAGAAACTACCCAATATTTAATAGTTATATTTTTATATAATACAAATTCCTTATTTGGTTCCGCCAATGAGGGAAATAACCGTCAGTCATTTGACTTTTGTGCAAAGAACGATACAAGAACGTGGCTCAGAACAGTTTAGTGTGTACAGGCACCGTTAAAAATCTGCCGACGATTATCATACCAGAAAAAGTAAAACCGAACCGACG